GTACTAATTCTTGCTCTCCTTTGTTTTGAATTTGTAGAATCTTGAAATCACAAATGCACAAAATGTTATCATCGATGGATTAGCTTCAATTAATAGCCAAATATTTAACATTGTGGTGCACGGTTGCCAAAATGTGAACATTCAAGGAGTGAAGGTCTCGGATCCTGGCGATAGTCCGAACACTGATGGCATCCATGTGCAGGAGTCATCAGATGTGACCATCCTTAGTTCCAACATCGGCACCGGTGATGACTGCATCTCAATTGGTCCAGGGACCACCAACTTATGGATAGAAAGTGTTACATGTGGACCTGGGCACGGAATCAGGTAGATGTTAACAAATAATTTTTTGAAATTATTTTGTTGGTATGAAAAATATATTTGAAATTATAAAACCAAATATAAAATTAGATTTTGAAGGAATAAAAACACATTTTAGAAAATTTTTCATCTTGAACATAGTGATTTTAACTATCCCTATATGTTGAAAATATGTGTTTGTAGCATTGGGAGTTTGGGGAAGTCGGCAGATGAGCCTGGAGTGAAAAATGTGACAGTTACATCATCGACTTTTACCGAGAGTACGAATGGAGTGAGGATTAAGTCTTGGGCAAGACCAAGTAGTGGGTTCGCAACTGATATTCATTTTCAACACATTACTTTGGATAATGTGAAGAACCCTATCATAATTGATCAAAATTACTGTCCGCATGATGAAGGCTGCCCCCATCAGGTATATTTTCTCATTAATCCTCGACATGTTAACTTCTTACGAATTATATTTAACTTTAGATTTGATTAATAGATATTAAATTTTAAATTTCATACGTAATTGATTTTTTTGTTATCTTCAACGAGTTGGAATTTATCTTATTCAAGACGTGTGTTAAATTAGGAGCATTACTTCGGCTACACTTCTAGGTAATGAATTGTGGTGGACAATGTAACTTTCACATATCTCCAAAAGAGTGTTATATTATCCACTTTGATCATCATAAGCTTTTATGGTTTTCACATAAAAGATATCGTACCATTCAAGATAGTTGTCCTTATTAAATTTTCATGCCATATTTTGATTGTTCTTGTTTGCATGAATAGGATTCAGGAGTAAAAATTAGCGAAGTAACTTATGAAGATATCAAGGGAACATCAGCCACTGAAATAGGAGTCAAATTTGATTGTAGCCCAACAAATCCTTGCACTGGACTCACCTTAGAAGACATTAAAGTGACTTATAATGATCAAATCGCTAAAGCTTCATGCAAAGGTGCCAAAGGAACTGCCTCTGGTGTGGTTGAACCTGCTAGTTGCTTAGAATAGACGAACTTAATTTTGGTGATAGCCTATTACGTAGTGTATTACAAAGGTGAAAACTGGAGTTCTATTGCTTTAGCCTAATAAACGAACTCTTATGAATTTAAATATCGAAAAATGTTCTACATAAAAAATGTACCATTAGTTTTTAAATATAGTAATTAATGGGTGTAAAAAGCATATTGTCATGTAAATTGGTTCTCTACTTCACTTCATTGTCCCTCAAGTTTAGATGGATGATCAATATTAGCCTTCAAATCAATGCAACTAAGCCATAAAAAACTGAGGAAATATCAAAGAAAAAAAGTTGCTAAACTTGGAAATTTTTGAAAGAGAGGAAGAATGTATTTTATGTTACATGAAATAAAAGTATTTTATGTTTTTGTATTTATTTAATAATAATCTTAATCGTCATCCTCAAATAATTTAATTTAATAAAATTATATAAACTAATTACATACTTAAATGGAAGAATTAATTATACTTCTTATATTTCAAAAATCAAATATAGTTAATTTATCTTACTCATTCTAACATATAAAATACATTTATTGTCCCTAACAAATGCGTTTTAAAACCTTGTAGAAAAGCTCAAAAAGGAAGCAATGTGTCAATGAGAACGTTGGCCCCCAAGGAGACTAGATTGTGAGATCCCACATTCGTTGGAGAGGAGAACGAAACATTTCTTATAAGGGTGTGGAAACTTCACCCTACTAGATGCATTTTAAAACCTGAGGGGAAGCGTGAAAGGGAAAGCCCAAAGAAAACAATATAGAGGGCGTGGAAATCTCACCCTAGCAGTCGTGCTTTAAAACCTTGAGTGGTAGCTCGAAACAGAAAACCTAAAGATGACAATATCTGCTAGCCAAGACTTGGGCTTTTACAATTTAAAACTTTCTTCTCTTAGATGGGTTTCCAATTCGGGAAAATTGGATGTGTATTATTTCTTTACACACGACCCACACGTGTAAGCATGGACTCTATGGATTGTTTTTGAACACGTAGAGGAAATAGTGATCGTCATAGCATCATGGTAAACATGATGGTCATTTCAGTCTTATAGTTTACGTGTCTGTACTCATGATAAAGGGAATGTATTCTGATGCACGTGAACAAACAATTATATATGAGGTTCCCATATTTTTTTTATCGTGGTGTAATAAATCATGCAAGACAACCCCCATTCTTTCATCACATATTACACTTAGTAATATACCTACATAAAATTCTTATAAAATCATTTGATTCCTAACCTAATTTTCAAATCATGGCATAGAGGTTTTTCATCGTATTTCCTTATTTCAACACATAACATAGCATGTCATAGCATATCATGGCCTAATGTAACATATCATAGAACATTATGACACTTCATAACATAACATAGCTTATCTTAACACAACATGACATTTAATTCATATCATAATATTATTTGACATATCATATAGCGACACATAACATAACATCACATATCAAATCATAACACACATATGACATGTGGAATGTCACTAGACACGTGTTATCATACACAAAGCAATTCTTCTAACCAAATCGATAGTAAAGCCACTTACTTGGTTGACGTAAATCGAAATTACTAATTATTCTTTGCAAAAGCATGGATATGCTCCTCAAGGTTCAATTCAACCTCAAATCCATCTTCTTGATAATATTAATAAAAACAAAATTACTGCAAAGATCAATACGTTGTAGTCCAATTATGGAGCATAAAGAAATATCTTGACATATCTACCAGATCATTTAACAAATTTTTAATCTTTCAATTTAGATTTAATATTTCTTGGATATAAATGTCTAACAAATAGAATACCTACTAACCTACTCTTTATTAGATACTATGATAGATTTTATAATATATTTGGGTATTAAATGAAAATGTATATTTTTTATAATATTATTATATTCACTCCTTACCAACCATTTAATACTTTTCATATCTTTCCTTTTGAGTATGTGTTTTTCTATATTTTTTTTTTTATTTTGTTCACATGTTACTTTTTATTCGATTTTAATAGATTCTTAATTTCTTGTGATGAATTGGATAATTCTTGTAATTATCTGAATGAAAAAAAAAATTGGATGACTATTTGATTTCCTATAATAATTATATTATTCTTAGGGTTTAATTTTGTAATCCACTTCTACTTAATTCTAACGAAATTGATCAAATTTTGACGAAAAAGGAAATTTGGAAATTGATTCTCCAACTGAGTTGCAGATAGAAGATTTAGGTAAGGAAGATGACATTTTAATATATTTAATTTTACTTTTATTCTTTTCAAAAGTGGAGAGATTCAATGGGAAGTGATTATTTATTTATTTTTTTTTCAATTTTCAATTTTTTTTTTTGACTTGTCACATGATCTCACGTTTAGATGTGATCTCAGTTCATTCATATACTCTTTATTTACTCGGGTATTACATACTTATCCTAAAGTTTGATAACAAAGCCATTGAAAAAAAACTAACATTCTCCTCTTTGCTTCACAAAATAAAACCTAGCGGCTCAAAACAGTTCTTACAAAAATGATATTGACCCATAGTCTTTATACTCTAGACATTCAAATAAAAAAATAAAAAAAAACTTTTATAGCGTTGCCATTTGAAGGTTTATAAACCCATGACTTTTGATGATAGATAATGAATTAATATGGTTTGGGATTTGTATTTCCACCTTGGTTAATTAAGAAAAAAAATTCATGAGTGAGGACACTATCTCTGTTGGTACGAAGTATTATCTCTGTTGGTACGAAGTATTTTGAGAAAACCAAAATCAAAGTGTTGAGAGCTTATTATCTCAACTTTAGCCATGTTAATAGAATCATCAAATATCAAACAAAGAAGTTGTGAGTCTCGAAATTTTTACTACGACAATAATCAAACAGTATCAAAGATGTAGTCATAGTGATTCATGTGTCCAACAAAGAATATACTTTATTCAAGTACTCTAAGAAAGAGTTGAACTTCAATTAAGGGGAAGTTGTTTGAGGATCAAGGAGACCTTATACTCAATTTTCCACACAAAGGACTAAATTTCTACTGCAAACAAAATTATTAAACAAAGGTCAAAACACCAACGGCACGTTCCAAGCCATGTAATAAACAAAATAGTCAAAATTGTTAAGTGTGTACCATATAAATTCGTTAAAAAAAACTTACTTTTAAGTCAAATTTGAAATTTAATGTTCAAAAAATTTTAAATCATGTAAATATAACTTGGCACATAAATTATTTTGGACTTATTACAAATATTATTAGAGAATCGATGTAGAATCGTGGACTAAAAACGTAAACATGTAAACTTAGTAAAAAAAATATATATGGTAGGATGTTGTGAATTTATTTCAAAGTTGAATAGAAACACAAAGATGGAAACACAATGATGAAGGATAATGAAATGTATGTTACTTTGAGAAGTTCATTTGGATATATATATAATAATAGTCACATATATATTTCAAGAACTGTCACGACCTGATTTTCGAAGCTTCGAAAAATCGAATCGTGACTAAAAAAAGACGAAATCGAAAATAAATAAATTTAAAAGAAGATAAAATAGGAGATGAAAATCGGATAAAAAATTTAAATCAAGAAAAAGGAGTTAACGACACCAAAATTAAAGTCAAATATTACAAACGGGAAATACAATTATGAAAGAAAAATACAACAGACTCTAAAAGACCGACAAGGGACTGACGCTCCGGAACGACACCCCTCTGTGACAGTGCAGCTCTCGAACACTTCCCCACCTCGACCGGTACCTGAAAAAAAGAAGGAAAAACGGGGTGAGTATAAAAATATACTTAATAAGCAACTTACTTGTAGGCTCTTAATCGTATCGAAGTTTAGGAGAGAGCCACCAACTATACTCTAGACTCTAGAGTCTCACTACTCTCAATACACAGTTCAAGGTGGAAGGACTTAACCTTTGAAGCGGTATTCAACGTTTGAGGATGAGGTGCTCCCTCATAACTACATGTACCCCTCGTACAGCCCAGCTAGAATTGGTAACTGCATGGTCAACGTCCTTCTACAGGACGGACCCATCATGCAGGCGACCTTGACCCACTCGCGTGATCAACATCTTACCATAAGACGAATCCCCATGCAGAGTAGTCGATCTACCACTGGGTAACACTTCCCTAACAAGTGTCTCGCCAAGCTCAACAGTACCACACCGGAGTAGGAAGGGAAGAGTAACACCTCCCTAATTGGCGTCTCACCCAGCTCAACGGTACCACACCGAAGTAGGAAGGGAAGAGTAACATCTCCCTACCTGGCGTCTTGCCTAGCTCAACGGTACCACACCGGAGTCGGAAGGGTAGCGTAACATCTCCCTAACTGGCATCTCGCCTAGCTCAACAGTACCACACTGGAGTAGGAAGGGAAACAGAGCATACTCGAATGCTATACCAGATACTGTCGGTTAAGAGGTCATCTCTCTACACCTCGAGGTCCTAATGTGGTTCTCTATATCTCAATGGTAGTTAAAATTATTGAGTTAGGAGCCTGGTGACACAATCGCACTTTCGAAGGCAGCGGATTAGCGATTGTGCGGCACTCACTTTCCAACGACAAGTGAGCTAAGCCAATTTGTTCTTGCATGGCCTTCGGCCAAGCGATGTATGATCGAGCCTCTAGCCTCGGTTTTAAAAGAAGGTTTTAGAAAACGAGGAGAGATAGAGATTTTAGAAAGAGAGATTTTGGAAAGAGACGTTATATAAGCAAGCAAGAGAAAGATAACAACGGCTTAGCATATATAACCTTGGGTAGGGAGAAGTTGACAACTAGTCATATCCCCCTATAGTACATTCTGAGCCATTTTATGTCTGGCAAGCCTAGACATGATATTTTTGAGGCGTCATACGTCCTAGAACTACAAAAGTAAAAACACTAGAATGAAAAGACATGACAAGGGTTTGGCTTGTCATGGGCATGCGGCCATGGGCAACACGCCCTGGACGAGCATGACCGTGACATCCTCCCCCACCTAATTGGTTGACGTCCCTGTCAATCGACTACTTTCAAACCTTGCGATGTGGGTGGCGGCGGAGTTCGGATCTTCGGCGCGTTCCCAGCTAGTTTCCTCTGTAGGGAGATTCTTCCATTTGACAAGGAATTCACGAATCGTCCGTACAGGTCTTCCTATCTTCCTAACCCTGTCGACTAGGATCTCCTCTACTTCTTTTGTTTCTTTTTGCTTCAGATTGATGCTTGGTCTCGTGATTGCATTTCGTTGGTCGTCGTCTGGGTCAGGGTGGTAGGGCTTCAAGTTGCTCACATAAATTACTGGGTGGATTTTCATCCATGCGGGTAGTGCAACTCGGTAGGAGGTAGCCCCGATCTTTTTAAGGACTTCAACCGGGCTTTCATATTTTTGAACTAGTCTCTGGTCCTTCCGGTTGCGAAATCTAATCTGTTCTGGTCTCAGCTTGATGAGAACTTGATCTCCTGCCTGGAATTGAAGGGGGCGACGCTTCTTGTCTGCCCACTTTTTCATATGCTTTGAAGCCTTCTCTATATATGCCCAGGCTATATCTGTCGTCTGCTTCCATTCTCTTGTAAAGTTGTGAGTTTGAGGGTTTTTTCCTGCATAAGGATGATCAATAATATGGGGTAAGGCCGGTTGTCGTCCACTTACAATTGCGAAGGGACTCTTTCCCATAGACAAGCTTGTTTGACAATTGAAGCAAAATTGGGTGACATCTAACAGTTGTATCCAGTTCTTCTGGCGAGCGTCGATGAAGTGACGTAAGTATTCTTCGAGCAAGAAATTGAACCGTTCTGTCTGTCCATTGGTTTGAGGGTGATAACTCGAGTAGATGTTTAAAGTTGTTCCCAAGAAGGCGAATAACTCAGTCTAGAATGTCCCAATGAATCTGCCATCCCTATCACTGATGATGCTCGACAGAATGCCCCATAACTTTACAACGTGTTTGAAAAACAGTTGGGCTGTGAGTTCCGCCGAGCATAATTTGGGAGTGGGGATGAATGTCGCATATTTTGAGAATCGGTCTACGATAACCAAGATGGCGTCATATTCCCTGACTTTTGGGAGGTGTGTTATGAAGTCCAAAGATACACTTTCCCAGGGTCTTGTTGGCATAGGTAGAGGTTCCAAGAGTCCTGAGACTTTGGCTTTCTCGACTTTGTCCTGTTGACAGATGAGGCACGTCTTGGTGTATTGCATGATGTCGTCTCGCATGTTTGGCTAGAAGTACCCCTTCTTTATTAGGGCGTATGTTCTTTGCCACCCAGGGTGTCCGGCCCATAAGGTATCATGACATTCTTGAATGAGCTTCTTCCTCAGTTCCCCCGTTCTTGGGACATACAATCTGTTTCCTTTGGTCATCAGGAGGTCTCCCTCAACCCAAAACTGTCGTGTTTTCCCAACTTTAGCTAGTTCGACAACGGCTTTGGCCGATGGGTCTTTATGTAAATGTTCCTTGATGATGTCGCGCATCGATTCATCGATCTTACTTGAATGAATATGGGCTAACATGCACAGGGCCGCATGTTCGCCCTTCCGACTCAGTGCGTCGGCTGCTTGATTACTCTTTCCTGCTTTGTGTTCGAACTTGAAGTCGAATTCGACTAACGACTCCTGCCACCGGGCTTGTTTTGCCGTTAATTTTGGTTGATCAAAGAAGTGGCAAATGGCGCTATTATCCGTCTTCACTATGAACTGTGGTCCCAAGAGATGCTGTCTCCAGACTCGAAGGCAATGGACTACAACCAACATTTCTTTCTCGGAGACAGTGTATCTCCGTTCGGCATCGTTGAGCTTTCGACTTTCGTAAGCGATGGGGTGGCCTTCCTGAATAAGGACCCCACCTAGAGCAAAGTCGGAAGCATCTGTTTCTATTTCAAATGGCTTTGTAACATCTACCAACCCGAGGACAGGACCCCTCGTCATGGTTGTTTTCAGATTTTCAAAGGCCATTTGACAATCATTTGACCACGACCAAGGGTGGTCTTTCTTCAACAGCTCTGTCAATGGGGCGACTCGTCATGAAAACCCTTCGACGAACCGCCTATAGTAGTTGGCTAATCCTAAGAAGGACCGCACCTCGGATACGGAAGTAGGAACTTTCCATTCTTGGATAGCTTTTATTGTTAAATAAAAGCTCTGCCTTATTTAGTTAGGTTTGTAAAAACATATGAGTTCACGCGAATGGAGGAGCGTGATTCTAGGGGCCATTGTTTTGGCAGAGTGGGCGAAGTCTTCGTCCACTTATTCTATTTTTGTATATTTGGTTTTTCTATTTTTGTAATTAGATTTATTATTTAAACCATTGAACGGATGTAAAATAAAAAATATCGAGTCTTCAGCATTATCAGCGAATCTCTCTCTCTCTCCTTTTACTTCCGCTAATTTTTCCTTCGAAGAAACCTTCGGCCAATTTTTTAGTCGACATCCGATTTGCCAGAGTCAACAAGTGGTATCAGAGCCTCGTTGAAGCGATCGGTAGTATACCATCACAGAAGAGCCAACCTATCAACAATCAAGTTGAATAGCTCAAGTGGTTAGAGTGTCGACCTAACAACACACAGGTCTCAGGTTCGAGTAGAAGAAAATGCAAAGGGCGAAAATAAGCACATCGTGGGGTCCATCTCGAGCAAGCTCGCTCCCTCCTCCACGCCGCCGTCGGCCATCTACTCCTCACGGAGGAGCAATGGCTTGCTGCACGCCTAAAGCTCCGCGACAACACCGGCGAGAGCAATGGGTCCTCCTCCAGCCGCAAAGGCGGTAAGAAGCCATGGATGTCCCACGGGCGCACGCGCGGGAAAGATGGGAATCAAAAAAAAGGAGTCGACCAAATGGCAGGCCGATCCAATGCTCGAACTGTGGGAAGAGAGGACACCTGAGCAGAAATTGCTGGAGCAAGCTGAGGAATAAGGAGGAGAAGGCCCATGTGGCTCAATCCGAGGAGGACGAGCCAGCTCTCTTCATGGTAACTGCATGCGTCCCCAATTTTGATTCCAAATCCGACGACGATGTTGAACCCAAGAAAGAGCTCCAGTTGGGCGTAGCAAAGATGGCACCAGCTGGGGAGCCAATTCAACTGGAGGAGGAGCGAGTGTTCGCTCAGATTGGCGAAAGGGACGAGCAACACGAGCACCAGCAATGAATCCTTGACACAGGGGCAACAAACCATATGACCGGAGCTAGATCTGCGTTCTCCGAGATCGACTCGGAGATCCGTGGGACGGTGAAATTCGGCGAGACCGAAGGGCGCGGCACCATCCTGTTCGTCAGTAAGGGAGGCGAGCATCGCAAGCTGACCGACGTCTACTTCATCCCGAGGCTCAAGGCTAACCTTGTGAGCCTGGGTCAACTCGATGAGACAGGTTGCTTCATTTCCATCGAGCGCGAACTACTGAAAATCTGCGATAATCAACGACGGCTGCTCACGCAGGCAAGGCGCACCACAAACCGTCTTTACATCCTGGAGTTAGAGATAGACCAACCCGTTAGCCTCTCGGCCAAGACCGAAGAGGTATCTTGGAGGTGGCACGCAAGGTACGGACACTTAAACTTTCCTGCCCTAGAAAAGCTACAGAAGAAGGAGTTGGTGCACGGCTTGCCAGAAATCAAAGGCGTGAACAAGCTGTGCGACGGGTGCCTCATCGGCAAACACCCTTTCCATCTCGAACAGCCTACCGAGCCGATGAGCCATTGGAGCTTGTACACGGCGATATTTGCGGGCCCATCAAGCCGGCGACCCCAGGCGGTAAGAGTCTCTTCCTCCTGTTAGTC